ATATTTAATTATTTCTTATATAATAATTGAAACTTTTCAGGAAACAAATACAAGCTACGAACGAGAAAAAAATATCCTTTGGCAACGATTTTTGATGGATCCTGACACTTTAAGAAAAATACATCAAGAAGTGAAACGTATGGCAAATAAATCTTGTTTTGATAATACATGTAATAATGAGTGAAATACTTAGTAATAGCATTGAAATTTAATATTGTTATTACATTGTACAAAATGAACAACTTTTATGCAGGAAAAAACCAATTTTAATTTATGTCTGTTTGTATCTATTTATATGTTATTTGTGTCTAATTAAATTGTCTATTTAATATTATAAATTAAATTGTGTTAAATATATTGTGTTTTATTTCAAATCAAATAAAAGTTTAGTAAAAGGTATACAAATATTTTTACTGATATATTACTTATCAGTTAGATGTAATTACTTGCTACTTACATGTAATAAAAATATCTTGTATAATTCTACAAAAATTTGTATAATCTAATCACATTCTAAAAATGAATTTATATCATTTTTATATCACCTTTTAATAAATAATAATAGAATGCACATTAACTAATGCAATCTCAACGCGAAATAAATAACTGACATTATTTATATGTATAAAATAATTTAAATGATTTGAGAATTTTTTTTAAGGATACTACAAGACTTTTTGGCTCAAGATTTATTTATGAAGTTATTTACTCATATTTCGAAAATTCTCACAATTTGTTTTAGTGTAAAGTATCGAAAATTGTGGGAATTATATAATGATATATACAAGTAAGTTCATAAAGCGAATTCAAACGATTGACACGATAGTGGCTGTTCTGCTTACCAGAACCGAAAAAGTCAGAATGCATGTTCATTCATAAAGATGTAGATATAATCCAAAGTACGAAAAAAGGAAATCTCTATTTTATCAATTTAAAACAATGACAACACTGTAAATTTTACATATATAATTGCTCCTACTTTTTTTCCTTTCAAGTTTACCTTTTCAAGTTTGAAAAAAATATAAGACTACATCAGACTTCGGAAGCGTTGTTGCGACAATCAAAACATATTTTCTGAAGATTCAGTTTAAATTTGAAGTCAATCGGTCAATTGGAATTTGAGATATCGTATCAGTCAGTTCATATAGCACGAAATATAGCACGAACATCAATCTACGTGAGTAAGAAAATGATGCGTGTACTTTTATATGCGTACTTCCTTCTATATTCTTATTGAATCTGCTATTTCAGGACGATAGGGTACAAAATTTTTGTAAATTATTAACATAACAATTATAATAGTATAAACAGAAAAAGAAAATTAAAAATGCAATAACTACGAATAACTGAAATAACTATGCCGTTGAAACCTACTTTGCTTCGCAGTTTCTCACTTTGCATATTCGTATTGAACGCTCATAATTTTTTTAATTTTACAAATTTCACTATCAGATTTGCACACATATTTTTAAATGTATAAACAATTTAAGAAAACGAAAAAAGAAATCGATTTTTTGGAACCGATTTTGTAAAAAACCTCAACTTTGTTGAATTTCCTTTTTAGTAATATCATAAACCCTAACTTCTACATTACGCATCAGTCACCTAACTTCCAGTTTCATATGTTTCATTCCACCTTCATCATTTGGATGGTCACAGATGATTTTAATTTGCTGTCTGATATTCATCCTGGCCATAAAATTGATATAAATATTCAATTAGTCAAAATCCAAAAGTTAATTAAAATCTAAATACCAACAAATCAGGAGATAAGACCCAAATCAGTCACAAAACTAAGAACCCCTCAGTTAAAGACTAAAAACGCAAAAAGTCAGAAACCTCTCAAGCTGTATTATAAGAACAATAAAATTATTCATTCCTTTATCACAAATAAATAAACTGTACTAAATAATACGCAACGGTAATATTTGTTTATTATAAATATAAATATAAAACCTAACTGTATTACTGTAAAACATCGTTAATACAAACTTTTGGGAGACAAGATAGTTATAGTAACCGAGAGATTCGGATAATAGAGGTCTACTTGCATCCCCTCCGTTTTCTACCTTTAGTTCAAATAATAAAGATTCTGACGTTCAATTAACCGAAATTCGTTAGTATTTGTACCACTTATTCGCACTTTACTTCTGTAACTCGGATAATAGAAATGTTTGTAAACAGTTGTCGGTTCGTTTGCAACGGTTTCTTACCTTCAGTTCAAATAATAAAGGTTATAACATTCAATTAACCGAAATTCGTAGGTATTTGTACCACTTATTTACACTTTATTTCTGTAGCTCGGGTAATAGAAATGTTTGTAAACAGTTGTCGGTTCGTTTGCAACGGTTTCTTACCTTCAGTACAAATAATAAAGGTTATAACATTCAATTAACCGAAATTCGTAGGTATTTGTACCACTTATTTACACTTTATTTCTGTAGCTCGGGTAATAGAAATGTTTATTCGCATCCCTGTATTCGACAAAAGTTGCTTATTCACAACAGCGGAGTTGGTTGAACGTTTCACAGTAATTATTCACTTTCTAGAAGAAATTAGTATATTTGCAAATCGGTAATATATTGTTACGAGATTTTCATATCTACCCGTTATTCGGCTAATTGTAAGTAAAAGAGCGGATCGTAACTTCAGGGAACAATCTAGCACCTTCCAGAATGTTCGGACAAAATAACAATCGGCTGTTTACTATAAAAAGGGATGTCTTCCACTAAAGTTCAGAGTAGAACTTTCAACCTTTCAATAGGGTTAAATCTATTCAACGACGATTGAAAATCTTCAGCAATCTAGCGATCGAACTTGTAGAACAAGAATTGTAAACGCGATTCGTAACAATATGATAAAATTTTCAAAATAGAAAGAACAGTGTTAAACCTAAATGATAAGTCGATTTATCAAAAGAATATAACAAAGTCGTAAAGTCAAGCATAGAATACGAGTTTTTATAACCAACAGTATGCTCAAACTCGGTACATATAATAGAAGTTCGCGTAGGAGTTCAAATAACAGAGATCCGGCCTCAAATCGTGCATATGATCTAGATTCTATTGCATATTAAAGCTGTTATATCGTATGCTAACCTTAACAAAATATTCCCATCTAGAACGCAGCTTTGTAGTCGAATTTTGAAAACTTTTGCCAAGAAAAGGTCAATCTTTTTTTATCCAATCTAAACACAAGTTTCTTGTTCTATATTTCAGAAGCATCCGCAATTTTTTTCACATAAAGTACTAAAAATTATCGATGTTAGGCAGTCTAGTATAGGCTTCAATAAAGAAAATTACTCTATGCCTTCCACGATTTCTATTTACCTATCCAACAAAAAGAAAAACAACAAAAAGTATTTTATTCGGTCTAAATATAGCTATAGCTAGAACTAAAATCGTTCAAAAATATTAAAAATATTTAAATATCGTAAATAAAAAAAAGAAAATTTTTAGAAACTAATTTTATTTTTTATTTTCGTTCTTTGGAATAGAATTTTCACAAGTACAACAATTATATGACATTTTATACATAATAAATATGTAACTTGAGTTACATACATCTTAAAAATTTACAAAAGTTTATTGAAACTGAAGTCGAAGAACTGAGGTCCTTGTTGGTGTTAAATAAGTATCTTTTGGCATTTGATTTAGTTTACACGAATAATGAAACTTGAAGATTTGCACCAGAAACCTAATAGGCAAAGATCTTAACAATAAGGATGCAATTAACAATTAGTTATTGGAGTGTATACTAAGAACGAGGGTTATGGATCGATTTGCACATGTAGAAGAGTGGACGAATTTCTTTCTTATTTCTTGAATAAACTCACGAAAATTGCTAACGCAATTAAAGACTGGAATATGAGATGCTATACATAATACAAAAAAGATTATTCGAAATTGTCGAGAAATGCTTTTGTACACATTTGACGTAATATGAATTGTATATAATTTTTAACAACATGTAATTAAATATTCTAAATGACAAAAAATAAAGTATTCTGCTTTAATGTAAATCTTGCATTAAGTATTTATATAATAAATACAGTACAATATTTTAAATGATAATTTTATATCACAATTTTATATATTAGTTTTTCATTTAGAACAGTAATAAAAAATTTGAAAGTCTAAGCGTTTGAGAAGGCGGGCTATAGCGAGACTGACAATGAGTGAGATAGGATAGGATGCATTGGCGTTAGCTTTCTGTTTCTTAATAGCTATCATTACGCTTCAAATAATCAGAAACGAATGTTGTGTTTATGTACAATTTTGAATTTCTAGTGTTAGTTTATTTGACAAAGAGTTTTTGACAATATGCATGTTGAGTGTTGAGTATTGCATGAAATATAATTTGTGTTAAGAAAAAGAAATTTTATGTTTAAAGAATTTTTACAGCGTTTACTATAAGCACGAGTTTCGAAGACATGAACAAATGTAACTGTAGAAATAATTTTTTGCCATGCCTTCAAGTCGATGTTATTTGATTGCTTGGCATTAAATAATATCTGTAACTTGCGTTATAAATTATTGAAAAGATCACTTGTATTCTGTTATTGGTTCCTTATCATGTTTAGCGTTGTATCTAACAAATTTAATTTTTAATTTTTAGTATTGATATGAACCATTTTTTTTTTGTCTTGTTCTTTCAATGAGACAAAAATTATAATTTTAGTCAGTTTAATTGTAAAACACAATTATTAAATTATTTAAAATTAGTAAAAAATTTTAACTTTTCAGTTGAAACCTGTAATTTTAATTGAATTCTATTTTAGATTAACATAAAATTTCCTTCAATTAATAGGAATAGAGTTTATTGATGTATTCATTAGCTACAAATTATGTTGCATGAATTTTGAAGTTTGTTAGTAAACAGACACTCTTGAAAAGTCAGTTGAACATATGTACATATATATCTATAACATTCATTTGAATTGTTCTTCAATATCCATAAGAAACATAATTCGTGCTGGAAAAGAAGAAAAAACAGTTATAATGAATATTTCTAGAAGTTCTTTGGATTCGACATTTAATGGTGCGTAAAAACTTTTTGTAAATTAGGAAAAAAAGAAAAAATACAATGTGAGTAACAAACTTAATCATTTAACATAATCATAATAAAAATGCAATTTAATTTCAGTTTTAGAAATGAAAATTAATAATGTATTTTTAAATATCAAAGAGACCTATTTTCTAAATCATTGGTCATAAAATTTACACATAAATCTATTATAATGAACAAAAAGGAAGAGAGTATCTGCTAGTAAATAATGATATATTATTCTGTTTAGGTGAGGAATCAAATTCAAGAGTAAACTTAAATAATGCAATGCTTCTGTCAATTGATGATGAAATATTATCAAATTCAGGTGATGAAAGTTTTTTTGACGCACACAATTCTGTTTTTTCATTGAGCAATGAGGAAACGAAAACTGACACGTCAACATCGATTAATGTAGAACAAACTAAGCATATTTCCTGTTCACTTGAACACAGTAATAGTACAAGTTTAATTCTTTTCTCGCTTACAAAATCTCATTTATCCTGTAAGAACAATGATTATACTGACAATTCTATACAAAATTCAAATAACTTTCAATTTTTACAAAATAAAGATATGAAACAAGAAAATTTTGTGACAAATAAACATATTCCGTTAAGAATACTATTAAAGCAGATGCTTGATGAAATTTTAGGAAAATGTAGTAGACATATAAAACAATCACATACAACTTGTTCTAACAGATACTTAAGCAATGAGTGTTTAATAAATAGTAGTAACTCGATAAAGAAATCAGATAACACCTTTGAGATAAATAATAATGATCCATGTTTAACACAAAACCATAATAATATGATTGCAACTTCAATTGAAAATGTAACAGACACTGACCAAATTGATGCTTCATCTTCACAGGATATATCAGTCTGTCTATCAAGTAAACTTGTTTCTAACCAATTAGTTACAATATTAGAAGATTCGAATGAAAATACCAGTAATTCACAATTAAAAGATTCTCCCAATTGGTCAGCAAAATATGTAGCCAAAGTAACAAATTTCTCCTTTAAAAAATTAGAAAGTATAGGTAAGAAGTTGTTTATTACCAGTGATATAAGTGACAATGAAACTACTACATCCTCAAATATGTCAAGTGATATTGAAATACTAAATAAAAAAATTTGTCAACAAGCAAACAATTAACGATTCATTAAATTTTAGTTCTCAGGAAACTAATGAAAATATAATGTATAATAATTTAAATCGAAAAAGCGGTAATACATTTTCACATATAAATTTAAAAATAAAAAATTAAACTATTCCATGGAATCTAACAGTCACCTTAATTTAATAGGAAATGAAGATAATTCTTCATATTCGGAATATATAGAATTTGATGATTCAACTAGATTCTGTTTTAGTTCAGAAATTGCTAGTATACAATTAAGTTCTGTGAACTACAATTTATACAATCAATCGAATAATGCAATTAATAGTATAATAAATAGAAAAATAAAAAAAGGTATATAAAGAATACTAAGAATGCTCCTTTACAAGAGCTAAAAGAAATAAACATAATCCACTAGCTGTTATAGTGAATAATGTTCCTCCTCAATCTCCTAATATAAGGAAAAGTATATATAGAAAGGTAACAAAATATACAATAAAAAGAAGTATATCATTGCGAGAAAATAATGTCAGAGGTTTGTATCACTTATTGCAAATTTTACATTTCTAATCTTACCTTTGTTATATAATTATAATTTTTTTCTCCAAAGAAGCACAAAACACGAGTTTCGATAAA